TCCCACGCAATGCTGACACAGCATCTCCAAGGCCGCGCGTAATACCTTAGGCACAAAGCTGCACTTTATTCAACAATGCAGAGAGTGTGAAATTAGGCAATGAAAGTAGATAGTGAAGGAGAGAAAGCCAGTCTGAGGATGGAGTGGTTGTCTGTTTCACCTCCTTTGTCCATGCAGTCACCACTTCCACAAAGTCATCAGTGCCAACAATGAAACCTGCGTTACTGGAAGAAAAGAGCAAAAGTGAGTCCTCTTTGCAAGAATGCGCAAATGCAGCAGCAGCAGCAGCAGCATCGCAACGTTAGGGATCAAAAGGAGGAGGCAAGCCTCTGTCCACTGTTCATTTGGACTTGTTGTGCAGTGGCGTATCTTGTGCAAACAAAGATGACAGAAAGCGTGTGCTTTGTGGCACAAGACAAGCGTGGGTTAAGCAAGCATTCATTTAATTGCCGATGGTTGTCAACCATGCAAATGTGAGCCTTACCACTGACTGCAATGGGAGGCGCAGATCCTGCTTGATGGCAGTATGCAAAGGGAGGTGTCACAAGCAGTAAGAAAACAGCAAATTGGACGACTATGAGATGAGAGGAATTGGCCATGTGCCCACCAAAGTGAGCAAAATGCCAGCCAATTTAGAGGAACGATAACTTATCTGAAGATGTTGCGGCTGGAGGGTGAAGCATGGCAAGTGCAGCGGTTAAAGGAAACACAAAGGCAATCGACCGCAACTTTGCTAGAGCTTACTGCTTGGCTGCATAGCCAAGCCATGATAGGCGCCTACATTTAGCCGCTGCTCTGATTCTCAGTGCAAATGCTGCCGCGACAATGCATTAGCAAACTACGAAACGTGAGTGCATCAATGCAGGTTGTGCAAGTGGAGGCTAAGCCAGTTGAATGGTCGAAAGGGAGGAGAAGTGACTGTCGCTGAGCACATGCCATGCGTGTCAAATGAAGGGAACTTACCGTGTGGGTTCCAGTACTCTAAAGGCAAAGTTTGCACAGGAAACTCGAAACCGTCTGTGATAACGAAGAATGCTGTAGGAAATTGCATTGGAATTATACTTACGATTGCATTCGGCCACTTCCGGTGACGTTCCTAAATGCGAAGACACAATTCATTATGCTCAGGTTGCAGGTGAACTGTTGATGTGCCTTAGCAACAATTGGTGCAAACAGCACGACTGGGCAATTCTGATAGTCCTCAAGACACTTGGAGTGGAAGGGAGGATGTAAATGCTAGCCATGGTAGCGATTGTAACAAGTGCAATCACTTCATCACGCCACTTACCGCTTTGTGTATAGTCCACGGTCACTGCCAAATCCATGGACCTTGTTGACCAACGAAAGATTTCATGGTCCAAATCAGATCGTGTCGGAAAAGTTGCGCTGAAAATCCTCAAATTTGAGGTGATGTTCTTGACCAGATCAGCTGGAAAATGGACAATCAAGGTGGGATTAGCAAGTGGACATCAAATCGCGGTGGACGGAATGTGATCAGTATGGAGGGCAAATTCTCGGCTGCAGGTGTGGGTAGATTGAGTGAACTGTTGTACAGATGCCTCTTTGAGGTCAATTCAATTTGCCGTCCTATGGTACGCAAAGAAAGCTCGCCATATATTGCAAATTGAACAGTTTCGCACTCACTGCAAATGGTGCTCTTGTTTTGAGTGACCTTAACGCCTTTCCATTCGCAGAGCTCATTCTCATTCGAAAGTAGCGTAACCTGCGGAAAGTAGGCATGTAACAGTCACTTGTGGCATGCACTTGCGAAATGCCGAACATACGCCTATGCCACACTCGTGAGTGAAAGTGCAAAAAAAGTGTGTTTTACCTTCCCATTGGCTTCGGCTCCCCCAACAGCGAAATTGATTTGGAAGGACTGCTGACCTTTGACAAATCGCGAGAAGGGAAACGACGTCTGCAGATCAGCATCATCTGCCATCAACAACATCACGTTATTAAGGGTGTGGACAATGCTGGCGGTCATTTAGCATTATTGAGCTGCACACTACCTTCCATGGGTGTTGGAAATTCGCAATAGGGCACAAAATACGTGGTTGCTAGAAGCACTTCACCTTCTCTTTTCACAAAAACAAGGAGCGATTCCTGCAAGCTCACGTTCTTCAGCGTGATGATTGCACTGCCTGAAGTGGAGCCAAAATGTGAAGTGAGGAGAAGGAAGTGAGGGGGCGATCTGAAGTGTAACAGAAGTGCCTATCTGATTCATTTGCTCGTTGTGTGATTATATCATCTGGACGTTTGTTGCCCAACCACCCAAAGTGACTCATCGTTCCTGCATTGAGAGGAATAACTGTTGATCGAAGACCAAAGCGAGTTATTACAACAGAGCCTCTATTTCCCGACGTAGCAGCAAACCTTGTTTAACCTTTCTACTACCCCCATTATTCAACCAACCTGACAATTCGCCGTCCAACCTTTCCGTGTGTGATGCAAAGCTCTGTTCATTTAAGGTGTAACAAAGGTGAAAACAAAGTTGAACAAACCTTGGTCCAGACGACAAGGACTACCCCAAAATGTGTTGTT